GCTTCCTTGTCCTCCTGGCACTAAACACTGTCTGATGATTTTATGTGTTTTATTTTATGTCTGCCTCCCTAGTCTCCAAACAGTGGGGACCTTGCCTTTTTCATCCCTCCATGTATCCTCAGCTGCTAAGACAATAATGAGCAGAGCAAGTCCCCAAATCACGTGGGTGGATGAACGATGAAGCCTGACAACTGCTGTATGAGAAGGATTATTACTGCCATTGGACAGAAGAGGACACTGAGGCACAGAGGAAGAAGTGACTTGGCTACACAGACAATAACCTGCAGAACCGAGCGCATGCCTAGGGTTAACCATTTCCTAAGAAGGGATTCCTGGGCCGTTGCCCAGAACTCTGCTCGGGGGGGCTGCAGCAGGCTCTCAGAAGAGTAAACCTTCCCAAGTTCAGTTGCAGCAGGGAGGAGGACCAGAAAAGAAAAAGACAGGCCTGTGTTCTGATAAAGTAGCAGGGAGGAAGGGATGGCATAGCAGGGAGATAAAACCTAAAGAATCCGAACGTGAAGAAGGGCACCTGGCACTAGAATGAAATGGCCTATAGAATTGCATAGAACCATATATGAGTTAAACCTTTTGTTCTTTTTTTTTGGCCTCTGTAACCTGCTTGCAAGGGTATATGCCCCTTTGTTCTCAGGGCTCAGCCTTTGGACACAAGTCTGCTGAATCTGCCAGCATAATAAAATGTTGATTCCTTGCCTCAGTGTCGGTGTTTCTGTTTGAGTTTCCCGTAACACAGTGACTTCTCTTTGTGGCATCAGTACTCACACCAAAGTGCTGCAGGCCAGGTTTCCTCTTTCACACACGGGTTCCCCAGCTCTACTCTTGGCATTTGTGTTTCGAACATCTGCTAGTCTTGTTGTTTGATCTACGAATCCTTCGATTCTCAGAGGAGCCATTGTTCTTCCTTCAGGTCGGCCTTCCCTGACTTCCTTTCTTCTCAAGACCCAAAAGAGGAAGCAGATCACTGGTGGGAAAGGAGCTGCAGCCAGCTCTGAGGCTCTTTCTCAGCAGAAGGCCCAGCATGGCTGAGGCTTTCCTCTTCTCACATAATGGGTCCTGTTTCCTCAAAGAAAAACATGCTGAGAGCCCTGGGCCACCCGCAGTCTGAAGGAGGCCTTTCCCAAGCGATGGGTGGTGGGTGACTCCTTCCTCATTCCCACCCACCTGCCACCCAGCAGCCTCTTCTGTCCTCTTTAACCTTTAAAAACTGACTTCGTTAAGGATGGGGAAGTTCTCACCTGGTTAGGTTGGGGGTTTGTGTCAGTCTGCAAGCCTGAGAAACTCTTGGGTGCTGGCCAGAGAGATGACAAGCAGCGATGGATCACAGGCACCCCTGTGCCACAGGACCTCTTACCCTCCACCCCATGTATGTGCTAACTGCCAGGGTGGCCACGAATCTCTCGAGAGGCTGTTTGCCTTACGGCCTGGATGGTTGCAAGGCTCTAGCCAAACAAACGAAAAATTAGTCTACCTGAAAATAGCCAGAGCAGCCCATTTTCTGTCACCTTGTTTCTCAAATATGCTTAACATCTAGAATCTGAGTATCCCCAAATATGGCTAAGGGTCACCAGTTAAAATGGCACCTAGGAGATAAAAGCCTCCCACTTCAACAGCCACTTAGAAAATGACCTTGGCCATCTGTTTGGCACCAAGTTGGAGTCCAAGGCCAGCTATTAAGTTTGCCTGGACTGAGCAGGCATGACCCGGCCACTGAGCGGGACACCTGTCCTCTATCCACCACGGCTCCACATTGGCCCTCTGCTGTCTGTGGGGCTCCCTGAAGGCTTGTGTCTCGGGTTGTTTTCCAACCCCATTGGAAGACTTTGCTTCTCTACTTCCTTTCTCCAAATTTCTAAACCAATCTGCACTTCACAAAGTGAGCTCCCATTATAACCAGAGCAGCACTGGCCAGCTCGTTCCAGACACTCGTTTCTTTACCTCTTCATCTCCCTGGGCTCCTGGCTCTTCTTTTCCTTCCTTTTATTCCCTCACTCATTCATTTATCCCATTTCTTTCCTAAAGATTTATGAAATAATGTCTATGCATCTGGAACTAAGAATGTGAACTCCTAGAGATACAGCTAGACAGACAGCCTGCTAAGAGTCGACCCGTAGAGTTGGGGGTGCCACACTAGTGTGAGCATTCACAGGGCTGGCACCTAATAGCTGGCAAAGGTTACATGTGACCTATGACCTGAGAGATGAGCCTATAGGGAGAGTCATGGCGAAGAGTGTTCCAAACAGAGCAAGTGCAAAGGCCCTGAGGCCCAGGCAGTAGAGCAGAGCAAAGTGTAAGGACAAGGCAAAATTGACTAGGCTGTGGCTGGAGAAGTCAGCAAGGAACAGAACACAGGGGTCTAGCACATGGTGTCAAAGAGGAGGGCCTGAATCTGGAAGACAAAGGAAATACTGGAACAACCAGTAACATGATAACTCAAAACGAACAAACCAGAGTCTCCAGAGCACTAACCCATTCTCTCTCATACAGTCCCAGTCCCCCTTGCACGAGGCCTCTGAGTTCTCATGGAGGCCTGGTGTCATTATCAAATGAGCAACCTGGCCCTCGCCTTGAGGTCTGGGGTGGGTTGAGGGAAGCAGGGTCAGGACTCACAGGGATCTGAAAACATGTCAGTCCCAAACTCCTCATGCAAATGAGGGTAAGTGGAGTCTCGGCTCCTACACCGAGTCTTGCTGTTGTTGTGTTTGTTTTCAAGGGGCAGAGGCCAGATCTGAGCAGGGAATCCAGTGAGTACAATGACATCTTCCCAGAATCTTTTAGCAGGACGCAAATATGAGTCACTGAACCCTAAACCTCAGATAGAAAACAAGGTTGGTAAACATGTCAAGGTACTGTGAGCTGGCATGCAAGCAAGTCATGATGCTGACTTGAGCCGCAACCTGGGCTGAGTGTCACATATGTATACGCGTGAACACAATGCATGCGCACACACACACACACACACACACACACACACCACCCCTTCTTTCCTTGAAATAGCAATTGCTGCCATGAATTCCTAAAATTTCTCATGCTTCAAAGGCAAGAAGACTAAAAGTGACCAAGAATTCAGGCAGAAAGGTATTTAGGAAAGATGGAGGGAAGATGTAGCTCAGATAACAAAAGGAAATAAAGGGAGAAAATCAATCCAGAAGAAGCACAAATCCACAACTCATACCTTCAAAATGTTTCTGTGGGTTGTGAGTCTCCAAAAGTTCTTGAGAATTATTCTGAGCTTAAACTAAATGACAGCACAATCCATGTCACTCTCTAGAAAGCCTTGCTGCTGCTGTCACTGGAGAAAGTGACCAAGAAGGTCTGGCTGTTAATTACTGGCCAGACAACTAGGTTACAGCACTGAGATCCTTGTAATGATGCATAAACCATGTGCCAGGTGTGATTAGTTCATTGGGAGTTAATTAGAGCTTTCATGAACATTCTCTCCCATCCTCTACTTCATGACTGGGAATAATAAAGCCCAATTTTTCAAATGTATATTAAATCCAAGTGGTTTAAAAAACTTTTTAAAGGCAAATAGGGTGGAGAAGGGCTATGTAAAGAAGGCTTCTGTCTTAGTCCATTTACTATTATTGTAACAAACCACGGAGGCTGGGTTACTTTATAAAGTACAGAGGTTTAGTCAACTCACAGTTCTGAAGGTCCAAGAGCATGGACTCTTGGGGAGGGTTCCAGGGCTGCATCACGACATGGCAGATGACATCACATGGTGGGAGGGTGTAAGATTGGTGTGTGTGGAAAAGCTCGCATGGTGAGAGAGGAAGCAGAGAGCAAGTAGGGGCAACACTTGCTCTTTTATAATAATGGACTCTTGTGGGAACTAGTCCTCTCTTGAGAGACCTAACCCACTCCAAGAGACCAGTGTTAGTCTCTTTAGGAAAGGAGTCATGACCCAATCACTTTCGCTAAGCACACCTCTTAAAGTGACTCATTGGGAACCAAATTTCCAGCTTTTTACCTGCTTTTTTTTTACCTGCTTTTCAAGTGGATATACACCCTCAGACCAGGGCTCTCCACCCAGTGGCAGGCACAGAGTACTCTCTGGTCTCTTATTATGAAAGAGGTCTCTCCCAGACAACTCTATGCATCATCAAAAAGAGTGAACACCTTTCAAAATGGCACCTTTCATTAACCAACAACTCCCAGCAAAAATGAAAGGCAGCATCGTTCATCAAGGAACTTGGAAATGTCTAGAAAACATATCCCCAAGAAAGCTCTTCTGAACACACACACACACACACACACACACACACACACACACCCCAATAATTTTCTTGAATCAAAATCCAGCACCATTTCTGTTGCAAAAGCCGCTCCTGGCAAGGAGTTGAAAACAAAGCTATCTTGGCAAAAGAGGAAATGATTTGGGGGTGTGGGGACAGAATTAAACTCGGGCAGTTTTTCTTCTCTTTCTCGATTGTACTTTTGTTCACAGCTTCAGCTGGGAGAGAGTGCGTACATTTAGAGTTTATGAGTTCATATTTTATAATTAACGTTGCCAACAGGGGGGTTTGATTAATACCAAGCAGTGGATTTTGAGCAATGTTCCATACAAATTGCCAAATTTAGCAATAAAATAAATTAGTTATGTGAACATAATTAGTAGGATGACTACTTAAAATTCAAAACCGAATGTGAGTAATTCCAAATCATCTAAGTCACAAATCCATTATTTGGAGAGAAGAAGGAAAGTACAGCATTTGGATTTTATTTTGCCCCCAACCCCAATGTTATTCACCGCCGAGCTGAATGTGGGCTGTGACAATATCGCCGAGCAACCCGGAAACACACACATATGCACACACGTGCACCCGCCGAGGGGACGCAATAAAGATAGGAAATGCTAAACTGTGGCTTTTCATTGCAAATGAGAACACGGACGACAAATTTCCCACCATGGCGGTAGTGCGGGTTCCTGACGCATTACCCATGCTGCTCAATCCCACAGCCGAAGTCCCCGCTCGTCGTACCTTGTTGTCACCCAGGACTTCGCCGAGCCGTTGCTGAAGCTCTTTCATTTCTTCTCCCAGGTGTTTATTTCGGTCCTGAGACTCTCTCAACAGCTGTGCGAGGTTAGCCTGCAAAGATCAAGGAGAAACGCAAGAGTGGGTTCACGCAGGCTGTGATGGCCAGCTGTCCCCACAGAGCACGTCAGAGTGAACACGGGTGACGGCAGCAGGTGTGCAATCACGACACTCCAGTGGCATAAGTGTGGAGTGGGGGACGACGAGGTTGGCTGTGAACTTAAATTGAGATGTTTCTAGAATGGTTCACAAAGTACAGTCTAGCGAGTAATAGAGGAGTTGGTCAGTCGTATTTGACTATTTCAAAGACCTCATGAGTACAGAGGCCATCCTGAAAATGGACAGAGTTCAACTCTACAATGTGGGTCAGCCACGCAGGAAAATCTTCATTTTCTGGTTTAGATTAGGCTTCACTCCCTTGATGCCCAGACTTTCCATTCAATTCTAGAAGGCAGCCAAAGGGGAGGTCAGGGGTGTGTAGCAATTTCCAAAGTCAGGGTCCAAAGGTGACTCTTCAGTCTCCCATGCTCACTTCCCCCTCCTCCCTCCCTTGTTCCAGCTCACATAGTACCACAGAGCCAGGCTCAGCCTTCCATTCCCATCTCCCTGACCTCACCCTTCCTACAACCTTGCCTCCTGCCCAGACCAGGGCCTCTTCCCTGATCGGTGGCTCCCCAGCCAGGACCCCTTCCTACACAGCTCTTTCCTTTTGCTGGGAGCCTATGCTGAGCCACATATGCCACCCACCCTCCTCTTCCCTGATCTCAGAACCCCTGGCTCCCCCAGCTCGCCCATGCTTCCCTCCACTCCAGTCTTTGCTTGCCTTGCCCTCCCACACACCTGGCTTCTTGTTCTACAGCACACTGTTCTGATTTGGCTGACAGAAACTTGCTCTAATTCTCACCACCCTGCTCACGCTCTCATCTAACCCTAGCAAGGATGCAACTTGGCTACTGTGTGCAGGGCCTTTCGCAGGGCTGTGTACGAGCAAGTGTCATAAGGACTCAGGATGGATACAGAAAGGAAGGAAAGGGAAGGAAGGAGGGCATCAGAACCTGTCATTCAGAAAGGGAGATTGTAGATTACCTCATAGATCCTTCATGTTGAAGCTGAGTCCTAACCTAGAGACGTTAGGGGATGATCAGATTCTAGTGGCTAGGTCTCCAAGGACTTCAGTGCTGATACTTTGGAAAATACTTATATTGAATACTCAAAAGGCAAAAAAGGAAGGAATAGAAAGATGAAACTGTAGTTCATAGTTGAGTCCCCCTTCATCTTACCTCCACAGCCCATCAGTTGGAATGTCAAATTGTCTCTACCTTCAAGGACCCCAACCTCCCACCTTCTGTTCCCACACACACATCAGACCTCCCTCAGTGCACGCTCCATCCTCTCAGGGACAAGCTCCACAGCCTCTTGGCCCCTCCACTGCTTCCTTCAGGCCTCTTCCCGACAGCTCCCCCAACCCCGACCATTTGATTTAATATGGCACCATCCCGTCCCCACTGCTGCTTGTCTTTCCTCCATCTTTAAACACAGCATATAATTTAACTCATGGTTTATTGCTTGCTGTGTATCTCCTATCTCTCTCTCCTTGCAAAACCATGAAGTTCCATGAGCAAGGAACTTGGTTCTCTCTCCCAACCTCTCCCAAGTACAGGTAAATGCTCTGTCAAATTGAGAGATGGAAAGCCAAGCCTGGAAGTCATGGTCTCAGCCTGGGGAGGGATCTAGAAAACCCCAGGGAGTACCAACAGCTGGGATGGGGAGGGGGGAGAAGGGAGTGGGGACACATGTAGCCTCACACACATAGCCTCACCCTGGCCCCTTGGGCTCTGACCTCCTGTCACTGACTGTGGGCATTATTCAAGGACGCCGTCCAGTTTTCACCCTCACATTTACAAAACTCCCATTTCCCCAGATTTCTCTTCTCATGAGATAAAGAGCTGGTGATGGATGAGGAAAATTTATTTCCCATGTTGTAGGAAGAGAAGCAAAGGCTTACAGCTACTGTGACCAGCTGGCTGGCTGTGAACAACTCTGGGTAGAATCATAGAGGTTGATTGCACCCTACCATCTTGGGGGACCCCCAGTGAGTTCCTTGACTGCTGCCTTCCCCATTTTCCTACTGTTGCCTTTTTCCGTTTTTCTCCATCTGAAAAATGCAGCTATCAGTGCATATTCCACATGATGATCTGATGCTTAAATTAACAGAAATAGAATGCTGACCCCAGTGCTCGGTACGCAGCAGGTGCTCACTAAAGGCTCTTCCAGGGGCTTCAACTCAAGAAACCCATGGACAGAGCTGTGTGGCTGTGGCAGTTGCCTTCTTGGACACAGTTGGCTCCTTTATGATTCTGTCCTGCTCATGATCAATGCTAAATTTATACAACAAAGATTTGTTGAATGCCTGCTACATCCCAGGTCCCATCAGAGATCTGGAGATGGAGCCACGAACAATATAGACAAACCCCTTGCTTTTGTTAATTTACATCTCATCAATTACAAGGATTGCACGATGTTACAACAGAATGAATGATGACTTGGTAGGTTGGGTATTAAGGGTTTCAGAGAAAAATTAAACAGGCACTAGGAACAGGGTGTATGAAGGAGGCCACATTTAAACCAAGTGGAAACAGAGTGAGGAGCCCCAGGGAGCATCCTAGAGAAAAATTCCAAGCAGGGGAAAAGGCAAGACAGCTCCCATCTCCCCGCTCCCGCCCCATATCACATCTCAAACTTCCATTTGCAAGCTGAGTTCAAAGCCCCAAAGGCAGGCTGGCTGCAGGACTACAGTGATGGTGAGTGGTACTCCTGGTTCCTGTCCCACCCCCCACTCTCCTTCCTGAGCAGCCCCCATCTTTCCTCCACTGAACTCCAAAACACTCCTGAACATTATCTCACTGATGGTCTACCAGATGGAGAGGGAGGAGTGACCAGGCAGAAAGTGACTATCCCTGGGGAAGAGCAGCCCACTTGCTCTGTCCGAAGCCTGCTGCCCCCTACACGCATTCAGGTAGCTCTCACATCCCCTCTGGAGGGATCATGGCAACATTTTCCTTCCCAGGGACCTTCTAAATAATGGGAGAAAAGCCTAGAAAGACATGTTTCCAAGAGCAACCGTGAAAACTCAACAGAAAACCAACAAACAAAACCTGCAACTTCCTACTCTCCCTTTGTGAATCAATAATGGCTGAATGCCTGGTTGGGGGGGCAGGGGGGAAGACCCTGACATTCAGGAACAACTGTCACTGCAGTAGCTAAACCAGAGAACTCAGTCTTTCCGTGGAGAGAGGCCACTCCAATCTGTCACTGATCAATGATTTTATAAAATACAATGAACATGAATTACTAGGAAAATGAATTTAGGAAGACATCAAGATAAAATCCCAAGTGTTTATTGTTAGATTAAACATATATAAAATCACGCTGCGAAATTGTCATAAAAGTCTCTGAACACTTACTCTCAATTTCTGACTCTATCTTGTCATCAGCAAGAAACAATGAGGTTGCTGCCTGGCATTGGTGCTCGGGCCTCACATTGAAAAGCACCCAGCTCAATGGTGCTCACAGGTATTTGGGTTAGAGGGCATAAGCATCGTCAGAGATTCCAGAGGAGCCCGGGCAGAGGGCAGGGCTGCGACAGGAAACAGATTTAAGAGATCCAGAGTTGTGACTATCAAGCACGATTTACTCAGCAGCCTGGCTGAAAAGAAAGCTACCAAAATAAAGCCAGGCATTTCACTGCATGCATGGTAAATCTGCCCCAGCCTTACACTTGACCTCTGGTGTGCAGATAGGGGAGGTGCAACTGCCTTAAAGCAGGTGACTATAATTTTCTTTTACACTTAACAGGTTTATTATTTGTCCACAAACAATTCTTTTCTGTTCAAGCCTTCCAGCTCCTCAATTCCACAACAATAACTTTGAAAACCAAAAAATGACTATTCTGATGTGGTACCTAAATTCCTTGACATCCATCTTAGAGAACAACAACAAAAAGTAGTACATTTCAAGTGCCCAGAACAGGAGAGAAAGTTCACACAATTCTTCAAAGCAAAAATAACACCCATGACTCACACACTCACAATCCATCAAGCAAACAGGTGGTGCCTACTTATAATTTATCAGCTAGGCAGGGCGTTTTGTCCCTGTGCTCTTGAGAAGGACTCTGCAGCCAGGAGTTTAGAATAGCAGACTATGTGAAGGAAATAAACGGCAGGGAAAAGGTGGCAGATGCCTCACGGCTAGCAAGGATTTCACAGGGAAAGAAAAACCGGCCAGAGAGCTTATTTCTTCTTAGTGTCTGGGGCAGGGGGTAGCATCAGTAGCAAAACCTGAAAAGGTTTACAAAGAAGCCTCTTTGAAATATTCAGATGGAGCCAGGGCTAACAGTAAAGGCTGACATTTTCACTCTGAATATGGGGCACTGCTGAATCGAATGGCTAGACTGTAGACTCATACATAAGCCACTCTTTCTAGCTAGGAGCTTATCTGTAAAGTAGTGATAGGGAGGGAGGGAGGAGAGATTTGGTGGAAATAAAGAGGGGAGAGTTGAGACCTTGAGGAAACACCTTCCTTGGACAAGGGGCACCTCAGTTCCCAGCCACAATGGATGTGTCCTGCTCCTGTGTAAAACTGGGTTGCCCTGGAAAATCTCTCCACTCAGAGCTGATAACTGCACATCCTGACAGCTGGTGTGAAGAGCAAGGAGCCAAGAAAACAGCTCTCACCCCAACCTTTGACTACCTTTTTGTGGAAATTCGCTCTGAGACAGTTAAGTCCTGCTACATCCTAAATTCTAGCTTGGACCTCCACCGTCCCTTCAATTTCTTCCAAAAGCCACAGAATATTTTTGGAACCATTCATTCTATAGGTCTAAGCTCATTTTTATACTTAGAAGAACGGATGGGAGATTTTTAAGCATAATTATGCATCATACTTGGGAATGACTGTCACTGTTAGGGACTCCTATCTTTAATGATCAAGTAATCAACACTGGTTCACAAGGAAGGGATTTCAGGAGACTGACCACAGAAAGAGCCCTAGCCTTT